ACAACACAAAAGTCCAGACATGTCTGGCATCCAGATCCGTCTGGGACATGTCTATACAGCCAGACAGCTCTGAGCAGACCTGTCCAAGGATGATGGACATACAGAAGACAGGTCTGGACCTTCAGACAGGTCTGGTGATACCCAAATCACCAGACTTGTCTGATTGAAGAAAACCAGACCCAGGCTGTCCAATCAAGATATACAGACCTGTCTGACTGCTTCTCATTCTATCAAACTTTGAGCAATCCAATATCAAAAATGCGCTCAGCACAATAGTTGAAATCCCACACCGGATCAAGATACTTGTCACAGCCAACAAAAAACAACTCAATTTCAAAGTGAGCCAATTTCAAGAAAAAATCAAATTCAAAAAATCAATTCAATACATTTAAATAAATTCGTTCCAATTTCAATAATATCACTTTATAAAAAACAACTTCAACATAGAAGAACATGGACACAAGAGAAATAATCAAACATCTTGCCCCTCTTCCTCCATATTATGGTCTTCACTATCACTACCACCAGTTTTTTCTTTTTCGTTCATATTGTGATCTTCATCCATTGATTTCTCAATCTCTGCCAAATCTTCGGCATTAAGAGCCACTCCCTCAGAGTCTGATTCTTCAACTCCTTCGATGTTTTTCAAACGAAAAAGGCCAGCCTTGATGTCTTCCACCCACTTTTCTCGATCCTCGGTCCGCATTTTCTTAAAACCTAAAATGAGGGCCTCCTCAGACAAAGTAACACCTTCTAAACAAACCATTTCAACAGGGACTTTTCGTTTTATCAAAGCACTCTTGGGGTCTTCAATCAGGGGGAAAGATTGAGTCGGTTTTCGGCCAAGAGCCTTGACTGTGACAAAAATAAACGTCAATACGACAAAAATACATGTCAATACATATTCATGCCAACGAAACAGAGAGGTAAAGTGAAATCAAATCAGAATATACCGGTCAGTTGAACAAGCATTCTCCCAAGTCGGACCTTGACAATGTCACTGCGTTGAGGCTTCTCACTGCGTTTCCTCTTGAGTTTTTTTACCGGTCCTTGTGTAGCTTCTGCAATGGCATCAGCCATCGCAGAACCTTGCGCGTAAGTAGCGAAAACCCGAGCCAAACCACTGGTCTTGTTGGCCCATCGTGCAACTTGTCGGTGGGTAGTAACTCCTTTGTCCATCCAATTCGTTCGATTTATCTGGAGTGAGGGTGCTTGATCCCACAAGATAATACGCAAAATTGAGGCGATTTGCTAGACATGCAAGCTAAGTAAAAAGAAACGTCACAAGCATATT